CTGGATGAGGTGTGCGTTTTTTAGAGACTAAGCGTGCATGGAGTTCCGAGAGGTTTTTTGGGGAAAAGGGAAACTGTCGAATTGACAGGTTTGGAGGGTAACAACAGCTTACTTCGAAGATACTGTAGGGATGCGGAAGGTGGGGGGTGGGTGGGAGATGGGCTGCGCCACAGGGCGGCGCCCCAAGCGGGTGAACCCAGCTGCCTTCCTCCCTGGGACAGTCCTAGCGGCCTGAGCCGGGTGAGCGCCGGCGCTGCGTGGGCGGCGGGTTACCTTGCTCCGGGCGCCTGGCACGCTGAGCGCCAGCTCGTGTAGCAGCTCCCGGGGCGGCTCCTTGAGATACCACCACTGAATTTCCAGCGAATATGAGGTGGCTCCACTGGCCCGGAACGCGCAGGGCATTTCGATGTCGTCTCCTTCCCGTACTGTCACATCTTTGGGGACTTCAGTAAATGTAGCTGGGGGCGGGGTGAGAAAGAGGCGTGACCAGCTGTAGGGCGGGGGCCTGGGGCAACCCGAGGGGAGGCGGTCGGTCCCCAGTTTGCTGGCCTTGCGCCCCCCTTCTCCCCACCTCCCAGTTACTCGGTGGCCCTCGGCCGGAGGCGCTAGCAAAGTTCGGTTTAGCAGCTGCAGGGCCGCAGCAGGGACCGGCCACGGCTGCAGGCTGCTTTTCTCCACTCAGGGCTGAGCGACAGGGGCGGCTCATGCTTCTTCCCGGCGCCGGGCCACATCGCCAGAGCCAGGCTGGGGTTCTCTAACTCCCGTTCCCCACAGGCCTCCTCTCTGTAGCCAGAGCCAGGCGAGACTCCGAAGGACTCAGGGTCGGACGCTACCGCTGCAGCGACCCTTCGCTGCTCTCCCACTACCCCTCAGGGCCGGGGCTGTACACTGGAGTAGCTCCAGACCGTGAAGCCTTCCCCTTCTCCTTCTCGCGGGCGGCCGGGGCAGTCTGGGTCTGGTGGCCCCAGCAAAGACCCCCCAGCCCACCGCGGCAGCAAAGTTCCCGCGCTCACCGTCGGCCAGGAAGAGCAGCAAGGCGTGCAGTAGCAGAGGCGGCAGGTATCCGAGGGCGCCGGGCCGGTTCCGCTGTTCCATCTCCCGCTGGGGGCGCGACGGCGGCGGAAGCCTGGGCGCGGAGAG